CTCTTCTTCAAACATGAAATTAAAATTCCAAACTGTCCTTTCCAAAAAATTTGGGAATTGAAAGGAGAAGAATCTGAACCCTCAGATTGACTAGAAAATCATAAGTTTCGGCGACACTCCTAGTAATTATAAAGGTAGTTGTAATCTGTGTCTACAAGAGAAAATTAGAATAAATTCGATGATCAAAATATACTTGTAAACCAAAGAAACGAATTAATCTCCCAATGTCGTCACCGAAGTAAATTTAAACTAATCTAGAATGTTACTGTACTTGCACGAATTGTTATCACTTTACTTGTACTGTTACTTCTACTCCTCCTCTTTCTTATCATATAACCTTCCTAGATTTTCCAGGACTCAACCATTACTAAAAATTCTTTTCTTCTCCACTCAATAACTGTCACTACTATAGAACTATCACTGTTATTTTCGATATTTGTTTTTTATCACTATTATTCCTATATTTTTTCTTATTATAATGTTTCATTTAAATTTTTTATAGATTGTTTAGAGTTACTTTTTATTTTATTTTTAATTAAAGGTTTTGATTTAATATTACACTATAATGATATATTAATTAGTGAAAATATCCCCCCACCTTTTCTTAATCTTTTTGGTTTATCTATCTATCTATCTATCTATCTATCTATCTATCTATCTATATATATATATATATATATATATATATATATATATATTTGTGTGTGTTTAGGAGTTTTAATTTTATATATTAGATAGTGTTATTTTTAAGTGTTACATTTTGCCTGGACATTTGGTATTTTCTTATTTGTGTATGCGTATGCATTTATTTTTCTATCTATTTCTATATATTTTAGTGTCATTTTTCCATATGTTGTTCATTGACGAATATTTGTTTTTCTATTCTACCCATATTAAATTTTATCTATTAAACCATTTTTATCTATATATCTTTGTCCGTATAAGTTATATTTTAATAGTATGTTAGAATTCGTTTACTAACACTTTCAAATTTGAATATTTCTTGGTTGATATTTGTGCGTGTCTTTATCAATGTATGTGTGTATAATCGCTTATATGTGCCTTTCATTGTATGTATATGTTGTCGTTGTCTTAAGGGTCGTGGACATCTGTTTCCTGTTTCATCGCTTTTTTGTGTGTTTATATATCTAAATATGTCTACGTGTTTGTTTATTATAATCTGATTGTGTATGTATTGTCTTTTGCAAGATTTCACCATCCCTTGCCCATATCATAACTTCAAATATATCTAAGTTTTAACGGGGCTAAGAGCAACATTAGATTTTAACGTTTATTCCAACTTAATTTTTGACCTTTCAATAAAAACAAAATAACAAAATATATGTATTTTTTCTCAGTTTCTCCTTTAAATAATTTTATAATTTTTTGAACATAATACAGATAAAATTTAAAATTGGTAATTTTTAATTTTATAGTGAAATTTAATATTTATTAGTTAGAATGAATTCCATTTTAGTCCAACCCCAACATTAAAGCATTAATTAATTATTATAACCAAAGTTCGTTGTCAAGTTTTTTGAATTCTCATATATTTGTATTTTGATTGGTCATTCAGCATTTCCTCTAGCGAGGGTTGTTTGATTGATTTGAAGATTTTAAAACCCTTTATTCCTCATTCAACACCATCACTTGATAAGACACCAGAAGTGTTGAAAGAAAATGGCTATTTTTGTAGTGATTTTATAATATATTTATGTTATAATTTTCGAATGAATAATTACAATTGCTCTACTTTGTATTGAGCACTCTTTTAAGAATAGTATTTTTTGGTTATTGGAATTTATTTGGTATACACCAATCCTATATACTTATATATATATATATATATATATATATATATATATATATTGATACACATACACATATTCACACACATATATATATATATAAATATATATATATATATATATATATATATATATATATATATATATATATATATATATATATATATATATATATATATATATATATATATATATATATATATATATATATATAAATATATATATATATATATATATATATATATTTAGAAATTTTAAATGTTAACATATTTTTTTCTTTTAATTTTAAATGAAGAAAATTTATATGTTGCATTTCCTAAATAGAAATTAAATCTATACACACACACACACACACACACACACACAATATATATATATATATATATATATATATATATATATATATGTATATATCTTTTAACATTTTAATATATTAAAATACATTTCTTTTAAATACCCTTGTGTAACTAATTATTTTTAAATGTTTGTTATGAAGAATAATATCTTAGAATAATTATTGAATTAAATTTTTATTCAAGTTTTTTCAAAATTAGCCGTACAAGATTTTAGATTCATTTTTGTTTTTATACAGGGACGGTATCAACTTACTTCACATGTTATTAATAAAACAAATTATTCCTTAAAAATAAATTTTATAATCAAGATATTGGTTATTATGAAGAATAATAGCATAAAGAAAAAAATTAAATTAACTTTCTGTGATAAACTTCTTAATAAGGCCATTTCTTTGTGAATTTCACTGTTTAAAATAATCGAAGAAATGTTACAAAGAGAAAGACGATATTGACAAGACAATAAAGTCTTCTTTACATTTTTGTGATATATTTTTATTAGTTGTAAAATATTGAATTTATAGAATTTAACTTTTGAGATTAACTTCTTAATAAGTTCTTTAATAATTATAATTTTTCATTAATTTCGAAGTGAAAAACGTTACCTTTAGTTTTAATGTCATCTGTTTATTTATGAACGACAGAAAAATTCAACTTACTTTTAAAAAATAATGCTTATTTGTCCTGGTTAAAGAAAAACGTAAGTTATTCATAACAAAAAATATACTTAATATTGTCATGGTTGAAGAACAATAGCAAATTAACTTTTTAATTTTATGTGATAAAATTCATAATAACACTTGTGAATTTCGCACCGGAAAAGTTGGTATTTTTATTAATCAATTTTCTAAGGCTACCAAGAAATTAATCCGCTAACTTTTAAATGACCACAAGGAAAACTTATCGACTTGATATACCTAAATTATTTAACCAAACCTGTTTATATATATATATATATATATATATATATATATATATATATATATATATATATATCTGAATCATCAGATAGCACTTCCAAAAGATGAAACGAAAAACTTTTTTCGTTTCTTCATTTGGAAGTGCTATTCGATGATCCAGCGTCCTTTAAAAGGGCTCTGGTGAAATAAATTATTATAATGGAACCTTAAAGCTCTCAGGATTTCATCCTCCTTGGGACTACCCATACGGATTACCAAGTTTTTTCATAACTTAATTAAATATATATATATATATATATATATATATATATATATATATATATATATATATATATATATATATATATATATTTCGTATATTTAAGCATTTCATGTGAATGATGCGTCCAAAATTTCTAAACATTTGCAACAGCATACCTATCTATATTAAAAAAAAAAAACTGAAACCAAACCTTATAAAAATTGCTTCGGAATATAGCACAAATGTTTTAAAATATTTACAGTAGATAGTTTAAAATATCGAAGTTTGTACTAATAGTTTTAATATTTATTTCTTAAAATCTCTCGACAACAGCGTACTTAGTTACCTACCCTTAAGCGTTAGTCAAGCCAATCAGAGTATCGCCCTTCTTTCACAAGTAAAAATATTTTATTTTCAGATGAACACAGCAATGTTTTGTCTTTGAAAATGATGAACACTAGAATATTTGTCTCGAAATAAACAACACCCTGATGATGATATTGTGTTATGTTAAAAATACTCGGAATAAAATAATATGTATTAACACGGTAATTTTCTCTCTTCCTTTAATAATGCCAACTATACGCTTGTTCGTGAATATGAAACGATCCAATTGAAAATAAATCGACAAAACGTGTCCATGTCTAAATTATTCAATGAAGTGTATCTCAACATCGAATATTCAGGTAGGTATACGAAAATAAATATACTGTTGAGTTTGATTTTCTCAGTTTTGTATTGATATAAAAAAGTAATCAATCGGGTTCATTCTGTTTTTGTCTTTTTCTTTCTGCAAGCAATTGCAAAACACTTTCTCAAAAGCAATGCCGTCAGACAGAAAGTTACGAAACCAACTGCAAAAAGGACGGCCAAAATATCAAGCATTAAAAACTCATACAACGGAATGTCTTGAATCTCTGATCTTAAATGATCTCCTCCATATTTCAGGATCTCATTTACAAGACGTGCTACTCTGGCCGATGGGAGATCTTGGGATCGAAATATTTCGCTCATCTTTGCAATGTTTTTCTTGTATTTTGGATTCTCAATGACTTCCTCGATATTTCTGACCAACTCGTCCACTGTGAAATTATTAAGGTCCATTGCAATTCCGAAACCTTTTAATTCTATATTCTTGCTATTAATGGGTTGATCTGCAAGAACAGGAAATCCAATCATTGGAACAGCGTGGTACAAGCTTTCATATTGACCACTGTTTCCACAGTGGGTGATAAATAATCTGGTGTTTGGATGACCAAGAAGATTGTTCTGGGGCAGCCATTTTGTTATCAGAACATTTGAACGGGAATAAGATGTATTTGAATGTTTCCAGACGACATCGTATTTGATCTTACCGAACGCTTCTTCCATTTTCTTTACATGAATGCCCCAACTGACAGTACTTCCTGGAGATACAACGATGACTCCATTTTTAGAAGCATTAACAAATTCTAAGATTTTCCCTTTGAGAGGTCCTGCCGGCTGGACAGCTATTCCTCCAATGTATTTGACATTTGGAAGAGCTGATAACGCTGGATTTAGAAAGTAATCCGAATCGACAATGTACAGTTGAGCTTGTCTTAAGAGTTCTCCAAAAGAAATATCCTGGCGTTCGGGTGCGTAGATTTTTATACTTCTACCCGGGGAACCAGCCGCTGGTTTGATATAATCAAGAAAGTTAATTAATAGATTCATGATTTTCATCGAAAAAGATGATATCTGCGCCTGGCCGAGAGTAATATGCGGAAAAACTGAAATTGCCCAAGGTGTTCGGTGAATATTGAACTGGTTGTGCAATCCCTGAAGTAAGAAGGGAATTCCGAGTCTGTACGCGAAAACAGTTAAGAAGTTGCTAACGAAATTAGCATCGACAACAGCGAGAGACGCATTTAAAGATTTCAACTTCAGGAAGATTTCTTCGTCTAAAAGATAACGATCACAGAGTTTATGAAAAGCATCAATGGTTTCTTTAATTGGAGGATTACTTCGGAATCTTAATACTTCTTTTATCAAATCATCATATGTCTCAAATTCTGGGAAATCTTCGATTGTGACGAAATTGATTCCTTTTTTTACTTGACTGAATTTCCCTTTGAATTTCTCCGAGATAATGACGTAGCTGGTGTGTCCATAATTGGCCAAGTCTCCAGCTACTTTAACCATTGGATTGATATGCCCAAAATAAGGCAGGGACAAGAAAAGTATATTCTCCGCGCTGGTCAGTCGATCTGAAAGAATGGCAACAGTTAGAAGTTGAAAAAATTGTGCCAGTTTCATTGCGTGAGCATAAAATTGGTTCCTTCCAAGAATACAGAAACTAGATGAATCTGAAAACGAAAGAAAAGGTTTCATCACAAGCAAATATTTACATTTTATTTATTAACAGGTTGGAATTGTCACGGACATTTTAGATCATTGCAAAAGTTCTTGCCCTGTGACGGTTACACACCTGGCCCAGGGTCGAATCCCTTGGTTACGGCGCCAACTGTGACGTCGCTCCTCCTGGTCGCTCCTCCTGGTTCCAAGCGTGCCGCTCCAACCCCTTGGTTGGATGATCACCAGCCTCGCCTTTCCCAACTCGCTTCCAATACCTGGTTACTGAAGCAACTGTACTGATTTCCGGTCTGTCTACCCACGTTGTGTTTAGATCTTAGACAGACGGGACCAGCAGGGATTGGGGCCGATACATGTTGAGTCCGACGGGGGTGGCAAAACACAAGTAAAAGAAAAAAAAAACTCACGAGACAAAAAATTACTGATAAAAAAAAAAGGGTGACAACCTTTTATATCTAATGTCCGTTACATAAAAACAAAATTGTTCTCAATTCCCGACCCGCTCTGTGGACTATGGCACCAAGCTTCTATCACACAACCTAAGGATTTCGAATTACCTACTCTTTAGAATTGTGTATGTCGGAGTGTGGTTTAGTTCGACACTGGGGCTAATTTCTATCGATCATTCGCAGTTGATTCTTCTCTTCGACTTGAGTTGTATTTCTTCTTCTTCGTCGACTTAGATAGAACTTCTCTTGTCTTCGACTTGGGCTGGATCTTCTCTGCGGCTTTCGAGTAATCTTCTTCTTTGTCCACTTGGGCTGGAAGTTCTCTTGTCTTCGACTTGGGTGGAAGGATTTCTTGTTTCGACTTGGGTGGAAGGATTTCTTGTCGCAACTCAGCCGCTACTCTCTGTCGTCCGAGGTGATCTCTTCTCGCTGCCGTCCGGGGCTGAACTCTTCTCGCTGTCGTCCGGGGCTGAACTCTTCTCGCTGCCGTCCGGGGCTGAACTTCTGTCTTCGACTTGGGCTGGAAGGATTTCTTGTCTGAGGATTCTTTTGCCCGCAAAGGGGCGAGTGAATCGGGCCTGATGCCCGCGTTCAGGCTCTTTCCCTGCCCGCGGTCCAGCTGCAACTCATTTCTGTCGACTGGGGTCCTGCTTTTATTGACGCCGCAACAAACCGGGGTGGGTTTGTCGGCGTCAGGGGTTTCTCGATAATTCCAATAGCCGCATTATTTCTGTCTTCTCATTATCGCTATTGTTTTCACCCCTACTTCCTCACAGTGCCTTTGGTGGGGAGGCGCACACCCATCTTTCCCGGTCCCTCGTATGTCAGGTGACCGCTCTCGACCAATGATTCCTGATCGAGCATTTCTCCTCCTCTCTCCCGTATGCCACGTGACCGTTTCCGACCAATTGTTATTGATCGAGCATCCTTTCTCCTCTTTTCGGGCGTGGTTTACATCGTTCTTGTTTTAAAAAAACAAAATCCAATTTTGCCCTTTTGCACGTACGAAAAATGACAATATTTGCCTTTTTCTCACCTGGGCTCTGTCAAAACAGCCTGCCGCTAATTAGATGTGACTTCAGGAAAGAATATTGGCGCCATCTGTGAGCTGAGACAATCGTTTTTCACCTCTTGTTTTGTCAGACCCGACAGTCAGAAAATCTTAATTATCTACATTGAAAATGTCCCCACTTTATTATCGTGGGTTTCCAATTCTTAATAGGTCAGAATCTGTATACAGTTCCACCGGTCACTCCCCTCAACCCAAAAGACACTTTTTTCTCCGATTAAAAAAAATTTCGTTTCTATTGTTCTAAAAAGAAATTCCCCTTTCTCCAATTTGACAATGAGTCTTTCCACGCAAAAAAGTAGGCTAGGTGCTTTGACCGATATTCTTATCAATCGCCAATCAAGCCTGGTTCTTTTTCTCCCTCTAAATCTTTTTTTCATTTCAAATAACAATTCTCTATTGTCTTTTAAAATTCGGCCAACACGCAGGCCAAGATATCTTTCTGACACCTATCTTCGCTTATGACCGGGTCATGCATCATCCATCTCTCTTTCCTTTTTTTTTTTCCTTTCTTCCTCTTTTCTTTCCCCCTTCCTTCTTCTTTTCCTTAGGATCGTCTAAGTACAACTTTAGTGAATTATTTTCAACTCAATTATTTTCCGTTTAAAAAAAAAAAAATCAACAACCTGTTTAATAAACCGAGTAAAAAAAAAATTAAATCATATTTCTATGAATATTTCTAATAATGCAAGGTGCCACACCCGATTAAAAAATTAAAAAAGAAAATTTTAGGTACTCACAAAAACGTTTATTTGTGGAGTACATAGATTCGGATTGAGGAATCGTAGAGCCGAGTTCGGATTTCAGCCGAATCTATTACGGTCATTTAGGTGCTAATAATGTTGGGAATGGCTCAGTTTGAGGAATCGAAAATCCGACTAGGGATTCCAGTCGAATGTATTACATTCACTTACCTGGTAATACCCTTGGGAAAGGTATGAATCCTCTTCTTCTCTCCCCCTCAGCTATTAGTAAATAGCAGGAGAGATTGGGTTCTATAGCCTTGGATGGCAACTGGTCTACCACAGAAAGAAAGGGCAACCTACTGCGGGAAAACATCTGCCCCGTCAGTCATATATAGAAAGATAAATGTTTGCCTAAGCGTGTATCCCGGACTTACTGACATAGTTTACATTGTTTTAAACAATTATCTCCCATCATTCTACAAGCTTGTTAATGCCATTTTTGTAAAAGTCCCGTGTTTTAGTTAGAAGAAGGTCGTCAGGTGGTTTCGACTGACCGCACAGTCAATTATTTTATTTCATTTAAATTGTTCTGTAGAGAGCGGAACAAATGAAAATCCAAATGAACCAAGTCAGAGGAATATGACTGGAACTGAAATGTTTACCATTTCAACTCTTTAAGCTTCTACAAGAACCGTTTTACAACATACGGTATTGTGTTACCGCGGTGGAAAATGATACCTTTCCGTTTTGCCCATATTGGCCATTCTTCTTGAACTCAAGCCAAATGGCGAAAGGCAGTTGAGGTACTGATTTGCAAACGCTTAGCAGTCTCTTCCGTCAAAAAATTCGGTTTAAGTATATTCTCTCCGATGGCCAGCAGAGCGTCTTCATCGTTGTCGGAAGGTCGCCCGGAGCGTGCTTGATCGTTCTGGTTAAAATGATCCTGACAAAATGTGCCAAACCACTTTTTGACCGAAGAACCGAGTACAATCCAATTTAATCTTCTAGGTGTTTATTTTTTGTCGCAGTTCCAACGCTTACTCCTTTCCAAACATCCATCGGGTATAATATGGCGAAAATGCAACTTCTCATCATCCATATTTAAGGCATTCATTTGTGGAGAAAACATCAACATTTAACAAAGTCTGACTTGCAACTGAACGATGTAAGATGTTAATCTGGAACATACTAGAAACCGGCAGCAAAAACAAAAGCCAGTCTCAAGTTGCGGTCATTTTATCTTAACAATGAAAATCGAGTACGAACTTTTGCAATGATCTGGTAAAAGAAAATCTATATGAAAACATAAGAAGATGCATTTTTAACAAATAATAAAATATGGGAGTAATTATTGAAAATGAAAGCCTCCAAACCAAATAAAATGTTTATTTTTCAAAATAATGAAAATGGTATCAAAATAAAATTGCATTTTTTACAAAATTTCTAATGTTGATTAATAAGTAAGTCCTCGTCTATAAAACAATGTTTAAACAATATATAATAAAGGAATGGAGTTGCCTACAAACTTTCATCTGGTTGATAGATAAGAAAATCCCCCAATCCTATAATAGATGTTTTCATCGAGATAGAATAAAGAAACTGATATGAAAACGGACTGTATACTTCTTGAATTTACTCGAGTTTATTGATAAACACGGCCTTCAGTCATATAAAAGATTTTTTACACCAGCTAGAATAATCAAAATACTATTTAAAAAAAACTGCATTAAATAAATCTTGTCGGAAGCAGTTGCTCTTTTAAAGAAATCTGGAGAACTCTCTGACTCCTCAATGTATTGCCATATTAGTTTCTTTTCGGCAAATTACTGGAGGCTCTAATCAATATCGAATTGGTTAGGCTTCTTAATTCGCACGACGTTCTTTCGGACAAATAATATAGCTTCCATTTCGTTAGGTCTTCTGCCGACGTTTCAACGACTATCACTGAATTTGTCTAACAAGCTTTAGATAAGAACGACGAAGCTTGGAGTTTAGCTCTATATATGTCGAAAGTGTTCGACAGGCTTTGACATGCTGGTCTTCTACGAAAGCTCAAGAACTACCGTGTCAGGGAACGAATATTTGGCTTAATTCAATTGTTCCTAGCAAATTGTGTAATGAAGGTTGTGTTGAACGTACACTTACGCAGATCATTTCATGCAAACGCGAGTGACACACAGGCATCTATCGTCGAACCTACGTTTCTGATCATCATTACTAATCTCCCCGAAGTCATCAGTTCCCAAATAGGTATTTCTGTATTTATTGGTATCTGATTGTAGAAGGCGGGTGGTTGGAAGATGTGTGTATATAGAGTAAATAAATAAATAAACAAATAGAAAATAAAATAAGTAAAATATATGAAACCAAACAAATTACCAAATCACGCCCGTTAGAATAGACAAAACAGAATAAATAAATAAAAAATAAAAAAAACAAAATCAATGAACCCAAATAAATAAAGTAAATAATAAATAAATTAACAAACCATTATGACCCAAATATTAGGCAGACTATAAAAATCAAAGCAAAAATCGGACGAAAAAAAATAGCTATAACTGTTATATAACGATAAAATCAAAAAATACTACGTTACTTAAAAATCGAAAACGGAAAAGAGTAAATAAAAATATACTGTATAATAAATAAATAATAAAAAACAAATAAAATAAATCAATCTAAATTCATCCAAATAAATAAATAAACTAACAAACAGATCTCGATACATTAACCGTTAGAAAAATTTAAAATTCAGTAAATTTAAAAAATAAGTTACTCGAAAATTCGCTTGAGGATGAAATGGAACTAATGCTTTTAATTTAATTACAAAATTTAGATTTTAGCATCCATTTTTCAAACATGGTTATTACTGTGTAGCGAAAAACCATATTTTAAATCAGTTAATTTATCATATTAATGCTCTGTAAATTTACATTGAGCAGTATTTTGTAAAAATAAAAATAAGAACAATATGAATCAATAAGAACACCGGATTATATATCTTACTGTTTTTTTTTTTTTTTATTATATATATATATATATATATATATATATATATATATATATATATATATATATATAAGAAAAACAGACCACTTTAAGGTACCATTATATATATATATATATATATATGTATTCCGACAAATTCTTGTGTGTGTGTGTGTGTGTGTGTGTATTTCAAAAAACTCTTGATCAAGTCAACTAATCAGCTTGTAAATTTTACTCCTAAAAAAAAAAACAAAGTAAGTGTTGAATATTTTGAAATCGAACAACCAACAACTTTTAATATAATAAGTTGCGGCATTGCAAAAATCAATTCCGTATATATTTATCATATTTATTCTTAATTGTATTGTCTGAGCTTACGCAATATTTAGCGAGTGGTGTACTGACAGTCGATCTGGAGTTTTTCTCGCTTTGAGCTAAAAGGTTTATCATAAACAAAGCAAACAACTTTGATTTCTCAAGTCTTCGAATTGATATGAATAAATAATAAGTGTTAACATGCAAAAAAACGTTATAATCTATTTTCTAAAATAATGAAATTTAAATTTTAAAACATATGCTTCGGCATGTAAACTGAGTCACGTTCTGTCCGCCTAATTGTTTTTTAATCATTTCCCCGCACTTAAGGCGATAAAGACACTAGAACGAATAGGAGTTTACAGTGAGTGAAAGAGAATAAGAAAGCATTCGTTTGGTGCGGAGTAGTGAGGAAAAGGGCAACCAAAGCACAGTTTTCTGGAAGACAGAAAATGGCGATTGACGATGTTAGGGAAACAAAAAATTCGAAAGAGAGTTCAACAGGTGAGAAGTGCGAGAAAAGGAACTGAGAGAATAGAAGAGACGATTGTAAGGTGAGGTCTAGTTGCCAGTCTAGTAGCACGATAAAATTTATGCCGTCGAGGCATGAAGGAAAAAAAAAACTTATCAGAACAATTGCCTTGAAAATATGTGGAAAGTAAAGAAACCGCGTCAGGTCGATGAGAAAAGTGGAAAAAGAACGAATTATACCAATGCATTTCATTCCTTGGGGAACTTTATCAAGGTTGGTGTGTAAATTATCATTTAATAAACTGTATTTATTATGAAGAGATGTGGAAAAAAATCTTCACGGTATATGTTTAAGTACGTATCAATATATATGCATAAACATACATGGAATATAGATTAAGAAATCGGATCTATCTAAATAGATAGATAGATAGATAGATAGATAATGAACAGACTAGGATAGATAGATAGATAGATAGATAGATAGATAGATAGATAAAAGAACGAAATCACACCGGATCGGTGAGAAAGTGATTGAATTCGAGATGCCAGTAGAAGATCGATTACATTACAGACCATTCTTTAAATGTAGTCAAATTTTCTGGTGTAATTTGTTCTAGTGAAACATTATTTTTTTCTAATGACGCCAGTTGATATCGAAGGAAAAGTCTTCCAAAATCTCGTATATACTTATTATGTATAGACATATATACGTATAAATAAAAGAAGAGACAGGTATACCAATGCATTTTGTTCCTTGAGGAACTTTATCAAGGTTGATGTGTTAAATATTATTCAATAAACTGTATGTATTATAAAGAGATGTGGAGAAAAACTTCACGGTATATGTGTAAGTACATACCAATATATGTACATAAACATACATGAAATATAGACCAAGAAATCGGATTTAGCTAGCCAAGTATCTATCTATCTATTTATCTATCTATCAATCTATCTATCTATCTATCTAGCTAGCTAGATAATGAAGGGACTGATATATATATATATATATATATATATATATATATATATATATATATATATATATATATATAAATAGATAGATAGATAGATATACATAGGACGAAATTAATGTCTGCCTTCTTGTCAAACGCCTTAATACATCGTTTATTTCTGAGAAAAAAGTTCCTTTCGTTTGAAAAGATTAATTTAATTGATTTCATCATGCTGCGGTTTTCCCCCACAGAATTGATTAAATATCCTCCGAACTCATGTCAAATAAGGAAGCTTTCGATGATTATAACATCGCTACTTAATATTTGATGATATTTAAAAAATATATATATATATATCTTACCTTGATAGGTGATAGCAATCAGTGTATCCTCTCTGCTGTAAGTCAAACAACAAAGTATTGCATCACTGAACAGATATAGTTGCTATTTTATTTTGCATACATTCGTACGCATGCATCTAAATTGCAACATTCCTTCGTCGGAATCATTAAAGCGTAAATGATTGTGAAAACTTATTTTCCAGGGAAAGCAAAGAAATAACGTTGTTTGCATTATTTAAATTAAAAAAAGCCCACTTAAAACAAAGACAATATACCGCATTTATATGCTTAAAAATATCAAGCTAAGAAATAAAATCAACAAGAAAATAATCAAAATACGAAATAAAATTCATGCATTGCCACAGTAAGTTCTATGATAACAGTTTCTTCTCCTGCACTTCTTGCTTGTGGAACTCTTTTTTCGCTCCTTGTTTGATGTTGTCATAAGTTAACAAGGAAAAGTATGAGACTTTCTTATTAGCTCTGAATTAGTTAAGCATCTCACCTATTATGGAACCTTACCCATAATAACAAAATTGACTATTCCAATACTGCGCCTCAAGAGGAAGCAGAGAGATCAGTCCGAAGTCGGGAGACTGGCTGACCGGTTGATCGGTTGAACTCTCTGCCTTCGAACGGGGAGGAATCCGAACGAGGCTACGCCGAAGGGCGGAGTCTCTTTCGGGGAGGTAAACCGACCCAGACCCCGTTTATACGGGTTCAAAGGGTATATTTTTGGCCGAGCCCACGGGCTCGGAGATCCCACGGGCTCGGAGATCCCACGGGCTCGGAGATCCCACGTTAAACCAGCCTTGTACCACATGATGCCCTCGTGGGGGATGACTAAATACCGTTCAGTCCGAAGTCGGGCGACCGGCTGATCGGTTGAACTTTCTGCCTTCGGGCGGGTAGGAACACGAACGAGTCTACGCCGAAGGGCGGAGTCACTTTCGGGGAGGTAAACCGACCCTGAACCCGTTTATACGGGTTCAAAGCTCATATTTTTGGCCGATCCCACGGGCACGGAGATCCCACGGGCTCGGAGATCCCACGTTAAACCGGCCTTGTGCCACATGATGCCCTCGTGGGGGATGACTAAATACTGTTCAGTCTGAAGTCTGGAGTGAGGTCCGTCAGAAGTCCGTCAGGAGTCTGTCAGTCAGTCAGTCAGAGCGAGCGAGTCAGTCAGTCGAGTCAGAGGCAGTCCGAAACAGAGTCGCGTTCAGACAATTACTACAAGACATTGGAATAATGATACTGGTCGAGACTACATTCTAAACCTGATTGTTCGTACTAACCCTTTCTATTTCTCTGTATATATTCCTGTTTGTAATATATCTGTTTTATTCCATATCCATGTTCGAGGTCTTCTTTATTGGTTCTACCTTGGACCATCACTGTGGTACAAGGACCTGGACCATAACATCACCTCACGTAGTCTTCTTCCAGATAAGCAATATGTCTTTCGCTTCCCTAGATCGACTGTTAATGTATTAACGATTATATTTGAAAGAAGCTTCAGATAAGAAGCTTCGTCATTTGCTTTGTACGTCGCGAAAGAATATAATAGGTGTGGCATATTAAGTGTTCTTAAGTGAAACAACGGAAACTGAATAAGCATAACTCAGTACCCAGATTGCAATACAACAAACTCTGGATTTTTTAGAGGATACAGATTTCATCACATTCACCGATCACAATATCTGATCTTTTTTATTAATACAAAAAAGTAAATGAAAAATACATTTATATATTTCCTAATTTTCTAATGACATCGCCAAGAAAATATTACTGCTGATGCATTTTTCCCAGTTACCTAATCAAAATGTTGAGCTACTAAATTTCGTGTATTTCGCAAAACAACTTAAGGATACAGTAGTGAAATATTACAAGATAGAAAAGCGGTTTCCCTTAAACAAATTAAAGAAACAACAACTTATTGTTCTGCCCACTGACTCTATCATAATAACAATTGAATATAATTTATCGAAACTGAACATAAAGTTTGTCACAACTACATCTAAAACAATGAAAGATTTAATCAATAAATACAAAACAATAGGCTAAAACTTGAAGGAGTAATTTACTCCATTACCTGCCATAATTACCCCAACGAATATATTGGAGTAACATCAAGAAATTTATATGAAAGATTATATGAACACAAAAGGGATATTTTACAAAATAAAACATTAAATGCATTAGTTGTTCACTGTAACGTGATTGGCCAAATTTTGATATAAAAAAATTATTATTAAACATATGCACACACACACACACACACACACACACACACACACACACACACACACACACACACATATCTACCATTCTTTCTTTTTTTTAATCTGATGAAGCCGAAGAAGCGCGAGACGTGTAATCTAGATTCAATGAAACGGATTTCCTTTTGTCATATTCGTCAAACATTGTCTGAATTCTGTATACTATTTAATCCAAATATTTTAGCTATCTAGCAAGCTAGATAGATAAATGACTTTCATGGCAGTGGATGCTGGAAAATATCCCCACAGATGAAGAAGAAACTGGGGGCAATGGAAGTGTGGTTTTTAAAAAGGATATTGCGAAAGCGGAATTTTCATTGTAGTGCCTTGTAACGTTCTGTGAAAATTAGTAAAACACGACGAACCTGAAAAAGAATTTCTTTTTACATGTTCAGCGCTGTTCGATAAAAGTGACTCACCTTATCCTTTAAATTTAGCTCAACTTTTGTTTCATCGGAGAAGAGAACATTTTTCCAGTCTTCTACGGTGAAATGTTTGTAATAGTGAGCCCATTCATGTCTCTTGGCTTTGTTGGTTTTGCTTATTAGCGGATTAAACGTTCGTGTGCAAGATTTGTAGCCTTGTTCTAACAAGATTTGTAACCTTGTTCTGACGGACAGTTGAAGAGGCAAAGACCAACACCTTGCTCTTCGTTTAGACTGGCTGCAATTTCTTGGCTAGTTATAGTCCTATTCTTCGCAACTTCTCTCTTGATTACCCTGCCAGTTCTATCATCAATCTTTTCCTTTCGTCCCCTTGTTTCCTTCCTTGGAGCAGGAATGGCATCATTATGTGCCCTAATCACTCGAGAGACAGTTGATTGCGAGGTTATAGCAATTTCTGCAGTTTCTCTCGTAGACTTGCCTGCTTTTGAGAGGGCAATAATAGATGCCTTAATTGGTTCTGATGCGTGTTTGTACCCTTTCATCTGGTTAGTGATTTGAGTGGCTATTTCAAGCTGTTTTTATAATGTATGAGGCTTTCTGGAATATTCTGGAATACTCTAGTTTTAATTTAAGCTGTTCTAGAATTCTGTAAAATATTGTTCTGGGTGTATTGTAAAATAGTTTTCAATATATTGTCAAAAGTTCTTTAAATTTACCAGTTTAATCATTAGAATGCAATATCCGACACACTTTTTTTTGCACAGAGTTTTTTCCTGAATCTCATTTATATCCAAATTTATAATTATTAATAGAATACCTTAGGGTGAATAAACTTTTTTTCCAAGGTGTTCGTGAAGGGGTCTTTATATTAGTAAGATTAAAAATTATTTTAACCCCAAAGACAATAGACAAAAAATATTTTTAGTAAAAAAAATCGGGTGAGACATTTTATCGAATAGCACTGTACATAAAAAGAAAAAAAAAACTTCGATAATTTGTTGATGATGTTATATTTTCATCTTATATTCCTATATAAAAGTAATGTTTGATAAATAAAAGGCATCGATTGGATAAAACAATTTCTATTAATTGATTGCTTTTTTTTTCTACGGTTTATCAAACCGTTTGCAGGTTATTTAAAGCTAGAAAATATTTTTAGATTTTAATAATTTTTTTTTTTTAATGAATATTAGTTTAGTGATAGAAATTGTACTAATTAACCCATACCTTATGGGGGAGAAGCGGTGGATCCATAACTTTCCCAAGTATATTTTGAGCGCACAGGGGGAATTCGAACTTGGTTCTTCGATTGACAATTTTGGGAGATTATGCATTAAATTACACCACCCGCACCTCCAAGCTTGCAGCACCTGGTACTCCTAAGTGGTATAGATACGGATAAAGTATCTCTAACTGCGTAGCAGGGATGCAACAAACTTGTAATATGGATTTTGAATATTGCTGCCATGAATGGTCCGATGCTGCTGCTTTATTTCTAGTGATTCTTGATAAAATCCAAAGAAGAATCGGCAATATTACTGGCCCTGACCTGGAATCTCGGCTTCAGTCATTTACCCACCACCATAATGTAGCTTCCTTGTGCCTTTCTCATAAATGTTTTCATGGTTATTGTTCGGATGAACACTTCGCTACGATACCGAGGCTGTATGAATTTAAGCGCAGTACTAGACTGGGAATGTGGTTTCATCAATTTACAGTTCAATTGGCTAGATCTAAAAATAAAAAAAATTAAATGCAATGTCAATCGTTATCTACTGTCTTCTTGATTACTTTTCTATTGTTCTCTCACCTTAATAATGTTTTTCTTTTTTATTCTTTCCCTCTCAGTAACCCCTTGGATCGTAATTTGCTTTACTGGCTTGCATGGGGTGAAATGATTAAAAAATTTCACTTCTTTATCTCATCGATACTAACATTGATATAAAATGGTTTCGTACATCTGTGAATTGGGACGGACACTTCTTAAATTAACTTTCTGTGACAAACTTCTTAGTAAGGACATTTCTTTGTGAATTTTACTGTTTAAAATAATCGAAGAAATGTTACAAAGAGAAAGACGATATTGACAAGACAATAATGTCTTCTTTACATTTTTGTGATATATTTTTAATAATAATATTTTGTAGATTCAATAAAGAGTTCAGAAGTTGCAATATGAGCTCTGGTAAAAACATGAATTGATAACAGCAAAAAATTGAAATATGAGCACTGGTAAAAATGGTTGCTGAAGACATTAGGTTTATAATACCCAGAAAGGACACATGGCACAGTGGAAAAAGGCGTTGGTTAGATCCAGTGACAGGACCCAAAGAGTGTGAGTTCAATACCCGGTTAAGGCAGTGGAGAACTTTCGGAGGGAAATTAGCAGGAGATAACTGATAACTGACACCCAACAAAGCATGGCACGTGGAACTAGAACAGTCTACCCCAGTGAGCGAAATAAAGGGTTCAGTTCGAAATTCCAACCACCTGAAGAAGGTCGGAGCGTACAACGGCCGAAACGTTGTAATAAATATGGTGACAAAGATGGGGAAAATAGTCCGACTAATGTAAATAATGTACATGATACCTCATCTCAGAAATATAGACAGATTCTTAATAAGTTCTTTAATAATTATAATTTTTCATTAATTTCGAAGTGAAAAACGCTACCATTTGTTTTTAATGTCATCTGTTTATTTATGAACGACAGAAAAATTCAACTTACTTTTAAAAAATAATGCTTATTTGTCTTGGTTAAAGAAAAACGTTTATTGAAATAAAATATATATAATATCGCCATTGTTGAAGAACAATAGCAAATTAACTTTTTAATTTTATGTGATAAAATTCATAATAACACTTGTGAATTTCGCACCGGAAAAGTTGGTATTTTTATTAATCAATTTTCTAAGGCTACCAAGAAATTAATCCGCTAACTTTAAATGACCACAAGGAAAAATAATCGACTTGATATACCTAAATTATTTAACCAAATCTGTTTTGGTAAAAATATATATATATATATATATATATATATATATATATATATATATATATATATATATATATATATATATATATGAATCATTAGATAGCACTTTCAAAAGATGAAACGAAAACTTTTTCGTTTCTTCTTTTTGAAGTGCTATCTGATAATCCAGATTCCTTTAAAAGGGCTCTGGTGAAATAAATTATTATAATGGAACATTAAAGTCGTCTGTTTTTCTTTAAAATATTAGCCCTGGATTTAGCTCTCAGGATTTCATCCTCCTTGGGACTACCCATACGGATTACCAAGTTTTTCATAACTTAATTATATATATATATATATATATATATATATTTCGTATATTTAGGCATTTCATGTGAATGATGCGTCCAAAATTTCTAAACATTTACAACAGCATACCTATCTATATATAAAAAAAAAAAAACTGAAACCAAACCTTATAAAAATAGCTTCGGAATATAGCACAAATATTTTAAAATACTTACAGTAGATAGTTTAAAATATCGAAGTTTGTACTAATAGTTTTAATATATATTTCTTAAAAACTCTCGACAACAGCGTACTTAGTTAACTCCCCTTCAGCGTTAGTCAAGTCAATCACAGTAACGTTCTTCCTTCACAAGTAAAAAATATTTTATTTTCAGATGAACACAGCAATGTTTTGTCTTTGAAAATGATGAAAACTACAATATTTGTCTCGAAATAAACAACACCCTGGTGATATTGTGTTATGTTAAAAATACTCGGAATAAAATAATATGTATTAACACGGTAATTTTCTCTCTTCCTTTAATAATGGCACCTATACGCTTGTTCGTGAATATGAAACGATCCAATTGAAAATAAATCGACAAAACGTGTCCATGTCTACATTATTCAATGAATCGTATCTCAATATATATATATATATATATATATATATATATATATATATATATATATATATATATATATAATTATTATTGCTTAAACTTTATTTTGTGGATATTAATATTTCACGAAGTTTCCTTTATTTATTAAAAAATTTTCTTTAATAGGATTTCTCGAATATTCAGGTAGGTGTACGAAAATAAATATGCCCTTTAAGTTGATTTTCTCAGTTTTGTATTGATATAAAGAAAAATAATCAATCGTGCTCATTCTGTTTTTGTCTTTTTCTTTCTGCAAGCAATTGCAAAACACTTTCTCAAAAGAAATGCCGTCAGACAGAAAGTTACGAAACCAGTTGCAAAAAGGACAGCCAAAATATCAAGCATTAAAAACTCATACAACGGAATGTCTTGAATCTCTGATCTTAAATGATCGCCTCCATATTTCACGATCTCATTTACAAGACGGGCTGCTCTGGCCGATGGGAGATCTTGGGATCGAAATATTTCGCTCATCTTTGCAATGTTTTTCTTATATTTTGGATTCTCTATGACATCCTCGATATTTCTGACCAACTCGTCGACTGTGAAATTATTATGATCCAGTGACATTCCGAAACCTTTTAATTGTATATTCTTGCTATTAAAAGGTTGATCTGCAAAAATTTGGAATTCCAATCATGGGGACACCGTGGTACAAGCTTTCGTATTGAGCACTATTTCCACAGTGTGTAATAAACAATTTGGCTTTTGGGTGGCCGAGAAGATCGTTTTGGGGTAACCATTTTGTTAGTAGTACATTTGGTCGGGAATAAGATGTATTTGAATGTTTCCAAACGACATCGTATTTAATCTTACTGAACGCTTCTTCCATTGTCTTTACGTGAATGCCCCAACTAACAAGACTTCCCGACGATACAACGATGACTCCATTTTTAGAAGCAGTAACAAATTCCAAGATGTTTCCTTTCAGAGGCCCTGACGCCTGGGTAGCTATTCCTCCTATGTACTTGACATTTGGAAGAGCTGGTAACGCTGGATTTAGAAAGTAATCTGAATCGACAATGTACAGTTGAGCTTGTCTTAAGAGTTCTTCAAAAGAAATATCCTGACGTTCGGGTGCGTAGAATTTTATACTTCTACCCGGGGAACCAGCTGCTGGTTTGATATAATCAAGCAAGTTAATTAATAGATTAATGATTTTCATCGAAAAAGATGATATCTCTGCCTGGCCGAGAGTAATATGCGGAAAAACTGAAATTGCCCATGGAGTTCGGTGAATATTGAACTGGTTGTGCAATCCCTGAAGTAAGAAGGGAATTCCGAGTCTGTACGCGAAAACAGTTAAGAAATTGCTAGCGAAATTAGCATCGACAACAGCGAGAGACGCATTTAAAGATTTCAACTTCAGGAAGATTTCTTCGTCTAAAAGATAACGATCACAGAGTTTATGAAGAGCATCAATGGTTTCTTTAATTGGAGGATTACTTCGGAATCTTAATACTTCCGTTATCAAATCATCATATGTCTCAAATTCTGGGAAATCTTCGATTGTGACGAAATTGATTCCTTTTTTTACTTGACTGAATTTCCCTTTGAATTTCTCCGAGGTAATGACGTAGCTGGTGTGTCCATAATTGGCCAAGTCTCCAGCTACTTTAACCATTGGATTGATATGTCCAAAGTAAGGCAGGGACAAGATAAGAATATTCTTCGCGCTTGTCAGTCGATCTGAAAGAATGGCAATAGTTAGAAGTTGAAAAAATTGTGCCAGTTTCATTGCGTGGGAAACTAGATGAATCTGAAAACGAAAGAAAAGGTTTCTTCACAAGCAAATATTTACATTTTATTTATTAACAGGTTGGAATTGTCACGGACATTTTAGATCATTGCAAAAGTTCTTGCCCGATTAGAAAATTAAAAAGAAAATTTTAGGTACTCACAAAAACATTTATTTGTAAAGTACATAGATTTGGATTGAGGAATCGGAGAGCCGAGTTCGGATTTCAGTCGAATCGATGACGGTCATTTACGTGCTAATAATCTTTGAAAAGGCTCAGTTTGAGGAATCGGAAATCCGACTTCGGATTCCAGTCGAATCTATTACATTCACTTACCTGCTAATACCCTTGGGAAAGGTATGAATCCTCTTCTTCTCTCCCCCTCAGCTATTGGTAAATAGCAGGATAGACTGAGTTCTATAGCCTTGGATGGCAACGGGTCTACCACAGAAATAAAGGGCAACCTACTGCGGGAAAACATATGCCCCGTCAGTCATATATAGAAAGATACATGATTGCCTAAACGTGTATCACGGACTTACTGACATAGTCTCCAGTGTTTTAAACAATTATCTCCTATCATTCTACAAGCTTGTTGATGCCATTTTTGTAAAAGTCCCGTGTTTTTGTTAGAAGAAGGTCTTCAGGTGGTTTCGATTGACAGTCAATTATTTTATTTTATTTGAATTGTTCTGTAGAGAGCGGAACAAATGAAAATCCAAATGAACCAAGTCAGAGGAATATGACTGGAACTGAAATGTTTACCATTTCAACTCTTTAAGTTTCTGCAAGAACCGTTTTACAACATACGGTATTGTGTTGCTGTGGTGGAAAAAGAAATCTTTCCGTTTTGCCCATATTGGCCATTCTTCTTGAACTCAAGCCAAATGGCGAAAGGCAGTTGAGGTATTGATTTTCAAACGCTTAGCAATCTCTTCCATCGAAAACTTCGGTTTCAGAGTATTCTCTACGATGGTCAGCAGAGCGTCTTCATCGTTGTCGGAAGGTCGCCCTGATCGTTCTGATTAAAATGATCCTGACAAAATGTGCCAAACCATTTTTTCACCGAAGAACCGAGTACAATCCAATTTAATCTTCTGGGTGTTTGTTTATTTTTTTGTCGCGGTTCAAACGCTGACTCCTTTCCAAACATCCATCGGGTATAATATGGCGAAAATGCAACTTCTCATCATCCATATTTAAGGCATTCATTTGTGGAGAAAACATCAATATATAACAAAATCTGACTCGCAACTGAACGATGTAAGATGTTAATCTGGAACATACTAGAAACCGGCAGCAAAAACAAAAGCCAGTCTCAAGTTGCGGTCATTTTATCTTAACAATGAAAATCGAGTACGAACTTTTGCAATGATCTGGTAAAAGAAAATCTATATGAAAACATAAGAAGATGCATTTTTAAGAAATAATAAAATATGGGAGTAATTATTGAAAATGAAAGCCTCCAAACCAAATAAAAATGTTTATTTTTCAAAATAATGAAAATGGTATCAAAATAAAATTGCATTTTTTACAAAATTTCTAATGTTGATTAATAAGTCCTCGTCTATAAAACAATGTTTAAACAATATATAATAAAGGAATGGAGTTGCCTACAAACTTTCATCTGGTTGATAGATAAGAAAATCCCCCAATCCTATAATAGATGTTTTCATCGAGATAGAATAAAGAAACTGATATAAAAACGGACTGTATACTTCTCCTTGAATTTACTCGAGTTTATTGATAAACACGGCCTTCAGTCCTATAAAAGATTTTTTTACACCAGCTAGAATAATCAAAATAGTATATATATATATATATATATATATATATATATATATACAGAGAGAGAGAGAGAGAGAGAGAGAGAGAGAGAGAGAGACGAGGTTCGAATCTTACCCTTGTCTATTTGTTAGGAACGAGACTTCCTGATGTTATCGGACTGGATGGGGTCGATCCCAGAGTGGCACGTTTAGAAAGTGTCTGAAAACCATACCACGTGCTGACCCAAGCCTGGTGAGTTAAAGTGGGTAGACGGAATCATTGGGAACCGGCGATAGTCACACTAAAAAAAAAGACCGTTATCGTCGCATAGTAATCTTCTATGTCAACATAAAAAGATATCATCTTTGATGGTGAACATCTCTTTTGTAATGTCCTGATGATGGCTCATGTGAATCGAAAATTTAGATCGAGGAACAGCATAAGAAAAAAATATCCAAATGTTAGTCAATTGTTGTCTTTATTTTCTCCTGAAACTAAAGCTACTATACGAACGGCTCATGATCAAACATAATAGACATTCTTTTTCTGTCACACACACACACACACACACACACACACACACACACACACACACACACACACACACACACTTTCTCTCTCTCTCTCTCGCTCGCTCTCTCTCTCGCTCGCTCTCTCTCTCTGTCTCTCTCTCTCTCTATATATATATATATATATATATACTAATGAAAACCTAATTAAAAATGAACATGGTACTTTAAGGATAATGTACTTTGAGAGCCTAATAATAACAATATTACCAACAATAAACACAGCTCAAAAACATTATACTACATCGTCGACCATTATTGAATTCATTCTTAAAGAATCAAACATATATCTATCTACAGCAAACGTTATGTATGTAAAAAAGGTCCTAAATCCATATGCGAAAAATCAACAATTAATGTTTACTAAACATGCACACACACTCACGCACACACACTTACGAATATACACTATCATCTGATTCCCACATACAGAAACTAGAATTTGTATTTACATACATGTAGCAATATTTACGGGTTTCCATGTAATCCGTTAATTTCTTGAAATTTCGGATGGACTCGTTGTGTCTCCTTGTGTTCAGAACGCCACAAATTCTACTAACCTTGGCTTACAAGAGTCGAAGGAACATAAAATTAAAAATCAAACAACACAAAAGTAGAAATATCAGTTTCTTTTTATTCCATATCACATTCTCTGATAAAAGTGAAACATGTTAGATTCATAAACATGTCGTATTTGTTATTTAACATAAATGTGTGTGTGTGGGGGGGGCGAGCATATATCTCTTCTAAAACACTCGGTCTGATTAAGAAGTCCTCGAAGCCTATAAAACCTTTGAGAACAGATACGACATGGGGATGGTGAAGATCGTTTCAATCATAAAGCGACATATCTTTTCAAATTATACAATTATACGACAGAGCATTTAGTTCTAAGCATATTCTCAAGCATTCTATCTCATCTTCTATTCTGACTATGTTCTGGTGTACCTTTATAAGAACTGGTCACTGAAATTTCACTGACACTTTTCAAGAGGAGTATATGACAAAGATGTGCTTTCTCACAGGATTTATTCAATCTTTAGAGTAAGGCAATCCTGAGAGAATTAGAAGTTCTACTATGATTCATTATTGGTGACGACTATCTTAACATCCTAAGAGTTGCACATAATAGATCTCTGATAGCCTACAGAGAAAGTAAACTACGAAAACTCTTACAAAAGGTAATCAAAGAAACCTACCTGTACCTGTATTTACCCGGGGTGGGTTGAGCCGGCTCCAATATTGGAGTTTCATGGGAATTTGGAATTCAAAAGCGGTCCCCAACCACATGTATAGCACATGAGATATGATTATAATGGTGAAGGTTTCGTGCAGGACCATCCACACTTTTTGATAGTGGTGAAGGTTTCGTGCAGGACCATCCACACTTTATGAAGGGCCGATTACAGAGACCTGGTGCACTACGTGCCACAAGGTCCCCAAATGACCCTCCGCAGGTTTTGAATTCAGAGCTTTTCCTTCACCGAGACCAGTTGCCATCCAAGGCTATAGAATCCAGTCTCTCCTGCTATTTACCCATAGCTGGAGACAGAAGAAGAGGATCCACACCTTTCCCAAGGGTATTAGCACGTAAGTGAATGTAATGGATTCGACTGGAATTCGAACTCGGTTCTCCGATTCCTCAATTCAAGCCGCTATCCATTACTCCACCGTGCCTCCGCGAATCAAAGAGGGTGGAAATAAAGGACTTATAACGGGAGGGAATGTATGTTTGTTAGTAAGAGGAACAACCCAAGGCGCGAACCACGAAGGCACCAAGAAAAAGCAAGTACAACAATTGAAATATGTAGATACTGTATTAACAGAGGGAGGAAGATGCAACACTGAATTCAGAAGGCGTTCTAAAAGCTAAAAAGAAAAATGCCGTTAGAACAACAACAAAAAAAATAAGACTGCTGAATTGTTATGTAATGTCGTTCCTTCTATATGATAATCAATGCTGGAAAAACTGTTCACAGATGAATAACAGACGAGGCTAGTATAATACACTGTTCCGAAAGTAGCGTTGGCCTTTATAAGGGTGTTGAAACGATTAGTTAAATTTCACTAACAACTGAATTAAACACCAACGTTTTTTTTTTTTTAGATATTTGTTTCTTACTTTTCAATTATTCTTATTTTTAATTCTTCACATCTGTGCCAGCGAAAACTGTTTTTTTTTGTAGAGACTTAAACAGAGGAATATGTTTATCTGCTGATTCAACAGATGAGCTATCAAAATACGCTGATTTAAAAGTAGCCGCTCTTCTCAAGAGAGTCTTATCAAAAACTTAGGACCCAAATATTAGGCAGACTATAAAAATCAAAGCAAAAATCGGACGAAAAAAAATAGCTATAACTGTTATATAACGATAAAATCAAAAAATACTACGTTACTTAAAAATCGAAAACGGAAAAGAGTAAATAAAAATATACTGTATAATAAATAAATAATAAAAAAAACAAGTAAAATAAATTAATCTAAATTAATACAAATAAATAAACTAAGAAATCGATGAATTAACTGTTAGAAAAAAACAAATAGAGATAATCAATCCAAATAAATACATAAAGCAATAAACAAATTAAAAACTGTTCCCGCCAAAAAACTACAGCAATCAACCCGTAATTGAATAAATACTTTAATTATCTTTCCAAATCAAAACAAAACAATTAAATAAGCGATATAAACAAATTTTTACTACGTTAATAAAAACACCGATTAAAAATAAAAATAAAAAAATAAAAATATAAGATAAGGGTTGGTAGCTGATTGGATCTCTCTGTATCCTTAGAAACAGTGAATTATGAATTTTCCGTGCCTTTAAAACTCAGTAAATTTAAAAATTAAGTTACTCCAAAATTCGCTTGAGGATGAAATGGAACTCATGCTTTTAATTTAATTACAAAATTAAATTTGAAGCTTTTAGCTTCCATTTTTGAAACATTTTTATTACTGTGTAGCGAAAAACTATATTTCAAATCAGTTAATTCATCATATTAATGCTCTGTAAATTTACATTGAGCACTATTTTGTAAAAAAAAAATAAGAACAATAAAAATCAATAAGAACACCGGATTATATATCTTACTGTTCTTTCTTTTTATATATATATATATATATATATATATATATATATATATATATAAGAAAAACAGACCACTTTAAGGTACCATTATATATATATATATATATATATATATATATATATATATATATATATATATATATGTATGTATGTATTCCGACAAATTCTTGATCAGGGCCACCAATCAATGGCTAACTAGAGCAAGAAATGGCTTGGAAATTTTAACTCCTCAAAAAAAAATATATATATGAATAAAAGCAAGTGTTGAATATTTTGAAATCGAACAACCAACAACTTTTAATATAATAAGTTGCGGCATTGCAAAAATCAATTCCGTATATATTTATCATATTTATTCTTAATTGTATTGTCTGAGCTTAAACAATTTTTAGCGAGTGGTGGACTGACAGTCGAACTGCAGTTTTTCTGGCTTTGAGCTAAAAGGTTTATCATAAACAAAGCACACAACATTGATTTCTCAAGTCTTCGAATTTATATGAATAAATAATAAATGTTAACATGCAAAAAAACGTTATAATCTATTTTCTAAAATAATGAAATTTAAATTTAAAAACATACGCTTCGGCATGTAAACTGAGTCACGTTCTGTCCGCCTAATTGTTTTTTAATCATTAGCTAGATTAGGATTAAAACGGCGAGGTCTAGTTGTCAGTCTAGTAGGACGATAAAATTTATGCAGTCGTGCACGAAGGAAAAAAAACATATCAGAACAATTGCCTTGAAAATATGTGGAAAGTAAAGAAATCGCGTCAGGTCGATGAGAAAAGTGGAAGAAGAGTGAATTATACTAATGCATTTCGTTCCTTGGGGAACTTTATCAAGGTTGGTGTGTAAATTATCATTTAATAAACTGTATTTATTATGAAGAGATGTGGAAAAAAACTTCACGGTATATGTTTAAGTACGTATCAATATATATGCATAAACATACATGGAATATAGACTAAGAAATCGGATCTAGCTAAATAAATAGATAGATAGATAGATAGATAGATAGATAGATAGATCGATTACATTACAGACCATTCTTTAAATGTAGTCAAATTTTCTGGTGTAATTTGTTCTAGTGAAACATTCTTTTTTTCTAATGACGCCAGTTGATATCGAAGGAAAAGTCTTCCAAAATCTCGTATATACTTATTATGTATAGACATATATACGTATAAATAAAAGAAGAGACAGTTATACCAATGCATTTTTGTTCCTTGAGGAACTTTATCAAGGTTGATGTGTTAAATATTATTCAATAAACTGTATGTATTATAAAGAGATGTGGAGAAAAACTTTACGGTATATGTGTAAGTACATACCAATATATATCACGGTATATGTTTAAGTACGTATCAATATATATGCATAAACATACATGAAATATAGACCAAGAAATCGGATTTAGCTAGCCAAGTATCTATCTATCTATTTATCTATCTATCAATCTATCTATCTATCTATCTAGCTAGCTAGATAATGAAGGGACTATATATATATATATATATATATATATATATAGATAAATAGATAGATAGATAGATATACATAAATAGGACGAAATTAATGTCTGCCTTCTTGTCAAACGCCTTAATACATCGTTTACTTCTGAGAAAAAAGTTCCTTTCGTTTGAAAAGATTAATTTAATTGATTTCATCATGCTGCGGTTTTCCCCCACAGAATTGATTAACTATCCTCCGAACTCATGTCAAATAAGGAAGCTTTCGATGATTATAACTTCAATACTTAATATTTGATGATATTTTTAAGAAATATATGTATATATATCTTACCTTGATAGGTGAGAGCAATCAGTGTATCCTCTCTGCTGTAAGTCAAACAACAAAGTATTGCATCACTGAACAGATATAGTTGCTATTTTATTTTGCATACATTCGTACGCACGCATCTAAATTGAAACATTCCTTCGTCGGAATCATTAAAGCGTAAATGATTGTGAAAACTTATTTCGAGGGAAAGCAAAGTAATAACGTTGTTTGCATTATTTAAATTTAAAAAAAAAATAAAACAAAGACAATATACCGCATTTATATGCTTAAAAATATCAAGCTAAGAAATAAAATCAACAAGAAAATAACCAAAATACGAAATAAAATTCATGCATTGCCACAGTAAGTTCTATGATAACAGTTTCTTCTCCTGCACTTCTTGCTTGTGGAACTCTTTTTTCGCTCCTTGTTTGATGTTGCTCCTTGTTGATGTTGTAGTTCTATGGACAAGTATTAGATGTTCTAATTAACTCTGAATTGGTCAACCTTCTCTCCTCACGTAGTCTTCTTCCAGATATGCAATATGTCTTTCGCTTCCCTACATCGACTGTTGATTTATTGACGATTATATTTGAAAGAAGCTTCAGATAAGAAGCTTCGTCAGTTGCTTTGTACGTCGCGAAAGAATATAATAGGTGTGGCATATTAAGTGTTCTTAAGTGAAACAACGGAAACTGAATAAGCATAACTCAGTACCCAGATTGCAATACAACAAACTCTGGATTTTTTAGAGGATACAGATTTCATCACATTCACCGATCACAATATCTGATCTTTTTTATTAATACAAAAAAATATAAAAAATAAATGAAAAATACATTTATATATTTCCTAATTTTCTAATGACATCGCCAAGAAAATATTACTGCTGATGCATTTTTCCCAGTTACCTAATCAAAATGTTGAGCTACTAAATTTCGTGTATTTCGCAAAACAACTTAAGGATACATCAGTGAAATATTACAAGATAGAAAAGCGGTTTCCCCTAAACAAATTAAAGAATCAAAAACATATTGTTCTGCCCACTGACTCTATCATAATAACAATTGAATATAATTTATCGAAACTGAACATAAAGTTTGTCACAACTACATCTAAAACAATGAAAGATTTAATCAATAAAGACAAAACAATAGGCTAAAACTTGAAGGAGGAATTTACTCCATTACCTGTCATAATTACCTCAACGAATACATTGGAGTAACATCAAGAAATTTATATGAAAGATTATATGAACGCGAAAGGCATATTTTACAAAATAAAACATTAAATGCTTTAGTTGTTCACTGTAACGAGATTGACCAAATTTTGATATAAAAAAAATTATTATTAAGCATATGCACACACACACACACACACACACATATCTACCATTCTTTCTTTTTTTAATCTGATGAAGCCGAAGAAGCGCGAGACGTGTAATCTAGATTCAATGAAACGGATTTCCTTTTGTCATATTCTTCAAACATTCTGCACTCTGTATACTATTTTATCCAAATATTTTAGCTATCTAGCAAGCTAGATAGATAAATGTCTTTCATGGCAGTGAATGCTGGAAAATATCCCCACAGATGAAGAAGACACTGGAGGCAATAGAAATGTGGTTTTTAAAAAGAGATACTGCGAAAGCGGAATTTTCATTGTGGGGTTTTGTAACGTTCTTTGAAAAATAGTAAAACACGACGAACCTGCAAAAGAATGAAGTTCTTTTCAAATATACATAAAAATAAAAAATAAAACCTCGATAATTTGTTGATGATGTTATATTTTCATTATATATTCCTATATAAAAGTAATGTCTGATAAATAAAAGGCATCAATTCGATAAAACAAGTTCTATTAATTGATTGATTTTTTTACTACGTTTTATCAAACCATTTGCAGGTTATTTAAAGCCAGAAAATATTTTTAGATTTTAATATTTTTTTGTAATGAATATTAGTTTAGTGATAGAAGTTGTACTAATTATCCTATAGCTTATGGGGGAGAAGAGGTGGATCCATACTTTTCCCAAGTATATTTTGAGCGCAAGTGAATATAAAGTGCACAAGGGGAATTCGAACTTTGTTCTTCGATTGACAATTTTGGGAGATTATGCATTAAATTACACCACCCGCACCTCCAAGCTTGCAGCACTTGGTATTCCTAAGTGGTTTGACACAATTTAACTGCGGTAATTGGCTAACTAATTAACCATGGAAATTAAAAACAGGAAAGACTTAAGGCAAGAAAGAGCTATATCGAAAGATAGACTGAGCAACGTTAAAAAGAAGATTTTATTTTTATTTACAAAAAAAAAAAAAAAATATTTCACGATCCAGAGCAAATTTCTGTAAAGGGTGTTTCTGTTTGACAAAAACAAATTGATGATTTATATTTTCCATTGAGTCCTTCCTTTAATTAATATAAATACTAAGAACATGGCATTTTAATTTCTCTAAGTGGGAGTAACATGTAAAAAAATAATTTTACCAAGATTTTCTAAAAGGAAATATTTTAAAAAAAATAATTTCATCCATTTATGAATAAGTCCTCAATGTTTCATTAAATTTCGACAATGATTTGATTTTGCAAGATTTTCCAAACAAACTATTTTTACAACTAAAAAAAAGAAGCTAAATTTCTAATACTAACCTTTGGCCCAACAAGGCAAAAAGAAAAGAAGGTTTTTAACCAAAATTTCGAAATGCTTTAAAAATTTTATAAAATAATAATAAAACTATAATTTGGCCATTCCTCTTAATAATAACATTTTGATGAGAAAAAAAAATGATCAAGTTTGAGGCTTTTTTCCTGCCATGCTTTATTTTAGAAAAATGTTTGAGGTCCATAATACAGATATAATTTTAAATACAAATATGCTAATCTAATATATATTTTCACATATAATACCCATATACAGACAATATTAATTACATAACCAAATATTTTTTAAACAAATTTTAAACCAGGCAAGGCAATAAGGTCACTAAGACGTAAGGAGTTACAGTAAGTGAAAGAGAATGAAATAACTTTAGAAAGAACAGGAAACACAATCCTAAACAGAGAACAAGAGATAAGCCTCTACTACTCTCCGGTCATATGAAGAGGTTCCTCACTGGGTGCAATATTTAAAAAAATCATCTGTATTCACCCAATAAATGTTGAATATTGTAAAATCGAACAAATCAACTGCGGCCTTACAAAAGTTTCTGCTGTAGGTGTTGCATTATGTTCATTCTTGATTGCATTATTTACATTAATATTAAACAATTTTTAGAGAGTGGTTTAATGACACTCGATCTGGAGAGAGTTCCACAGGTGGGAAGTGTGAGGAAAAAACTGTTAGAATAGAAGAGACAGTTGAATCTAGCTAGTTCAGCAGCAAAACGGTGATGTCAAATAGCCAATATAGTAGCAGGCTTAAATCTATGCAGTCGAGTCTCATCAGATGATTTGCCATGAAAATATGTGTAGAAAAGAAGGAAATGACGTCTGGTCGGTGAGAAAGCGACTGAATTCGATATGCCAGAACAGGATCTATTACATTACAGATCATTCTTTAAATTTTGTCAAATTTTCTGGTAAAATTTGTTCTAGTGAAACATTCATTTTTAATGACGCCAGTTGAACCAAACGAAAAGACATCCAAAATAACTTATATACTTAATATCTATAGACATAGATACGTATAAATAAACGAAAAGACAATAATGCTACTACTCCCCGGTCTTATGAAGAGGTTCCTCACTAGGTGCAATACATAAAAAATATCTGTATTCACCCAATAAGTGTTGAATATTGTAAAATCGAACAAATCAACTGCGGCCATACAAAAGTCACTGCTGTTGATTTCGCATTTTGTTGATTGCATTATTTGTCTGAGTTTAAACAATTTTTTGAGAATAGTATAACGGCACTCGATCTAGAGTTTTTCTAGCTTTGAGTTCAAAGTTTATCATAAACAAAAAAAAAAAAAAAATAAAAGCTTTGATTTTTCAAGTCTAGGAATTTCTAAGAATAAAATAATTGTTAAAATGCGACGAAACGTTAAAATCCATTTTCTAAAATAATAAAATTTGATTTTAAAAACATACACTCAACCACTTCAACTGAATCACATACTGTACCGTTATTTTCTTCTTTTTTTAAAAAATCATTTCATCCTAAGTAAGGAGATAAAGCCACTGGGACGCAGACATTTGCAATGAGTGAAAGAAAATGGGAAGACTTTAGTTTAGTAGGGAGAAGTGACGATAAGGGCAGCAAAAGTGCAGGATTCTGAAAGAAAGAAGATGTCTATTGGTGGCTATAAGGAGAAAAGAAATCGAAAATCAGTTCCACGGGCTTGAAGTGCGTGATAATAAACTGTTAGAATAGAAGAGACAATGGTATCTAGCTAGTACAACCGTAAAACGATGGGGCCTAGTTGCCCATCTAATGGTACGCTTAAATTCATGCAGTCGGGGTACCAGGGGAAAAAAGTTCACCAGAACAAGTATGAAAATATGTGTAGAAAAGAAAGCCATGTCAGGTTGGTGAGAAAGTGATAGTATTCCAGATGGCAGGTCAGAATCGAATAGGTGAAGCCAATAAGTGGATCCTCTCTCTTGCAAATCAACCCACAAAGTGTTGTATCGCTGAACAGATAAAGTTACTTTCTTATTGACATACAGAATTTCAAGTGTTCTATATTCGTGTGAATGTTCATTTTAATGGCCTTCAACATTCTTTCGTCATTGTCATCGAAGCGAATATGACTGAAAATTTATCTTGAGGAAAAGTAATATAATACCTGTGTTTGCATTGTTTAAATTTTAAAACGAATACAAAATTGAAACATATATACCGCATTTATGTGTTTAAATCTATGAACGCAAGAAATTAAATCAACAAAAAATAATCAACATACGAAATAAACTTTATGCATTGCCACAGCAAGTTATATGATAACAGTTTCTTCTCCCCGCACCTCTCGCTTGTGGAACTTTCTAACCCGTTCCTTGCTTGAGGCCCAGTGTCGGATCCTTTGGTTACGGCGCCAACGGTGACGTCGCTC